ACTATTTTTGAAAACCCCAAAAATTTCTCTCTGATTCCCAAAATATTCATTCTTTTTATATCCCACATTTTTCTCAATATTCACCCCAATAATACAAGAGTCGAGTCAGTAACTAACAATTTGCTGCACTCTCACAACATCCAAATAGTCTGCCCCAGTGAAAGTGCCTCACTTTGCTTCATGGTAAAGCCAACCTTATCATTAAATGGATTATATCTTCCAAAAATCCTGAATGCCTTTATACCCCGAAGGCACCAAATTGTGTCTTATCTTGGAAGCTAAGATTGATCTCAGCCCTGATTAGTACTTGGAAGGCAAGTGTTCAGAGCTCAGATGCTCTAGACTATATTCAGAGGCAAACATCCTTGGAATAAGAAAACCCTATGATAGGGCCGCCATATGTCAGAGTTAACTTGAAGGCACGTAACAAGTAGATAGGGCCAAAAAGTTTACACCAGATTCCACCAACAAGGGCAGAGTGAAAGTTGTGTAGCCTTCCATATATTGTTAGACTTCAACTCCCAGCATACCACTGCACTAGGACAGTGTAACTAGAGGCAGCTCTTTTCAAAGTCTTTTGCGAAAAGTGGTTCGGAACACAACCAGCCTGGGATTAATCGTACCTGTTTTGTAGCTTGCTTTGCAAGTCCTCCAAAATTTCTGCAGACTGCTTATGATAGTCTAGTGCAGCTTCTATGAAGACTAGCAATTGGCTTACTTGTTCTATCTAAACAGAGGAAAGCAAAAGGGAAATTTATTCAGTGCATTTTGTATTATATTTCTATCCATGCTGAGTAATCTAAAACAAAAACACACCTGCATTATATTTTCAGGAGCAAGGAGAAACTGGATTCCCATTCCATGGATCGTGCAAAACCATTATAGTTGGAGAAAATTCTAGGGAAAAGGGAGGCAAGGAGGAGGAACAATCTGAAGAAAGTATTCATTTGAGACCACCTGGGACATGAGATCCTCAGGAGAGGATCTTCTCTCACTCCTACCATCTTCACAAACAAAATTGTGAGGACACAAGATAGGGCCTTCTCAGTGGCTGCCTCTAGACTCTGGAACTCTCTTCCCAGAGAAACCAAAATGCCCCCCACCCCACCTTGCTCTCTTTCCAGCAACAAGCAGAGACATTTTTATTCCAGCAGGCTTTTAAAACAAAGTTTTAAAAGAATGGGCTTATAAGAAAGTGCTTTATTGTTTTAAACTACACTCAGACCTTGGTATCCACGGGGGATCCATTCTGGACCCAACCACCCACCACCCCGCAGATTAAAAAAGCAAACCCCAGAACGTCAAGTCCTGTTGTCCCTAATGGAACATGTGTAAAAGTCTAATTGTAAAAACTAAAAGAGCCAGCCTGGTGTAGTAGTTTGAATGCGCTGGACTACAACTCTTACAACTCTGGATACCCAGGTTCAGATCCCTGTTCAGCCAAAGCCCAAACCCTTCTGAACAATCTTCCCAAGAAAACCCTGTTATAGGTTCACCTTAGAGTCACCATGCATCAGAAATGAGTTGAAGGCAAGCAACAGCAAGAAGCGGAGGAAGAAGAAAAAGAGGAAGAGGAAGAATGTTTTTAATTTAATTTTTTAAAAAATTATTATAAGCCGTTTTAATTTAATTTTTAAAAAATTATTATAAGCCGCCTTGGGTCCCATCTCGTGAGAAAGGCGGAGTGTAAATTCTATAAATGAATGAATAAGTTAGCATTCTGTAGAAATAACTCTATCACAAGGTGGCAGCATTTCTAAAACAACATGAAAGCCATCACCCTGGCCATTTAGCTCTTGACTTATTAAAAATATCAACAAAAACAAAATGGGAATGATTTAAAGGGAACAGATAAAGGCAGAGATGAAAGCAGGGGAAAGACTTAAAATATTTCCTGTATTCTACTCTGAGAAAACAAAGGGACAACCACAAAAAGAGTAGGCAGTATAAATCTACTAACAGCTCTTCAGTTCTATATTTGGAGTCAAAAAGATAAGTGGCTGATGTATTACAGAGCTGCATTACTCAATACTTTCAATTAATCCTAAATCATTATAGGAGGAAATCCTGTACAGATCTACCTGGGAATAAATCCCACCAAACCCATTTAGGTTTATTTTGATTAGGCGTGTATAAGATTAGTTATACGTGCCTAAAGTGTTAGTTGACAGACATCCTATTCATGCAGTATTTTGAAGTCAACTCCATAGTGGGCCTGTTTAATTGTTTGTGTGGCAGGGAGCAATAAGGGAAACCTGACATGCCTATACAAATAGGCAAACCTAATATATGAGCAATTACAAACAGTGTAAAGTCTCCCTTTCAGTCTGGAAGAATGATAGCAAGAATGCATAACAGATACAAAAACAAAACAACCCCCCCCCCAAAAAAAACACAACCTGTCAATTTGCTCAGTGGCCTTTATCACTTTTCTTACACAATTTATTGTCATATTTTGCATTGTACTAAGCTTTTGGGGAAAAGGAGGATGAGATATTGTAAGATTAGATTATTAAATCAGATATAAATAAAAGTTTCTTTGGGGGAGTTATGAACCTTCAAGTCAATTCTGACCTATGGCAATCTTATCATGGGGCTTTCTTGGCAAGATTTATTCAGATGATGTTTAGTGTTGCCAGAGTGAAAACTGGAGAGGGCTCCTATACCTTTAATAGCTGTATAGAAAAGGGAGTTTACAGCAGCTGTTCCTTATCACACAACCAGGTAATAAGCAATGTTTTCTGAAATTCCCTCCTTTACACAACTATTAAACATACAGGAGCCTTCACCAGTTTTCACTCGGGGAACCATATATCAACCAATTTTTTTAAAAAAGCACTGAAGAGTGATATAACTGGTATAAAGAATCTTTTTCAGTAATATCTGTCTGTTGTGGGTGTGTATCTCACTTCTTCTACCAAAGCAGCTTGTAATTTAAACATATATGAATCTTTACCATCTTTGCCTGATGAAGCAAGCCAGCATACCTTGAAAGCTGAATTTTGCCTCTTTTGCCTATAATAAAAGTATCACAAACAGAGGTACTTTGGACATGGATACAGATATATTATCTTGCACTCTTAAGGACCTCAAGCAATCAAAGAGGCTCACATCATTTTCTAAAAAGTTGAACATGCTCCGTTCTGCCAACTCTTTGGACTCTTCGAACTTTTCTACAGCTTGCTTAACCTCCTCGTCTGGTATCTTCCCAAGACGTTTCTTTTTATAATCATAATCCAAACGCCGTCCTTCCAGTTTCTTCAGATGGTGCTGTTTTAAAAGGCAAAGAGAGAAAAAGAAAAACAACACCACAGCAGTTAAATCAAACAGTAAAAGGGGGGGGATCAAATGAAGAAGGAGAGGTTTTTGCAAGCATGTCATAGCTGAGAATGTTATAGCACTGATTTATGTATGTAAGAAAAGTCATGTGGGAATTATGTCCGCCAAAAAAACAATAAAACCCCCAGCATCTGTGAACACTCCAAATATTGCTCAGGAATAAATCCTTACATGCTGGACACCAAATATGAACAAATCTTTACACTGTCCAACTTAGAAGCAAGACTATGCCAAAACATGGTTTTCCTTTATATCCTGGCTCCCAGTATGCTTTTGCTTTTTTCTGTCTTGGGGGTCCAGGAGAAAGCAATGCAGATTGCACACAAAGGGTTCGTGCAAACATAATGATTAGCCATGGCTGCTGTCTCTTTGGCCATGTGTTAAGTGTTCAGACATAATCCTCAATATTCTACATTGGCTCCTTAGACTCATATGTCGATGGCTCCTGGCTCAACACCGTTTCCAGCCCTTCCCACCATCGGGTGAAGCTGCCAAGGAACTGCAACAAGGGCCATGCTTCTGATTCTCTAAGCCTTGCTTACAAGTGGGAAATATCATCCCTCTTGCACCTCAGTCAGTAGGTGAACAGACCTTCGTTGCCCAATGTAGCTGCTGGCTCTTAAGATGAACTGAGGGGAGATGTGTGTAACTGTAGCGTAAGACGTAGTTGTCGTTATTCGCTGCCCTCGAGTTGCCTCTAACTCATGGCAACCCTGTGGATGAGACATCTCCAAGAATCCCTATCGTCTATCCTTCTAGTGATCCTTGCCCAGATCCTGCAAGCCCTTGCCCATAACCCCCTGATCCAATCTATCCATCTGCTCTGTGGTTTTCCTCTCTTTCTTCTGTACTCTGCCTTTGCACATTATTGTTTTTTCTAGTGATTCGTACTTTCTCATTATATGACCAAAGTATGACCAAAAGTGTGGGGAGGGGGAGGTGAAGCCTCCCAATTCCTCCTGCCCCCCTTCTCTGCCCCATTTCCCTCCCA